GGCCGTCTTTACTCCACACGACTGCAGAGAGAGTCACGTGAGTGGGAGGAGAGTGGGAACTGGCGTTTGACTGACCGTTGGGTTTGGGGTTTGCGGTGGCCTTACAGCGGATGCGATTGGCGTCCGATTGACGAGAGCCCAAAACGAGGGACTGAACGGACGGACAGTCTTCCCATTGGACGTCCTCTGCAACGAAACGACGTGAGAGACGACGCGAGACGACGACAGAGATGACAGGACTCACGGAAAAAGTTGATTTGAATCTTGGCTTCGAAAGTGTCTGAAAGGGAAGGCATGAGAGCGGAGACGACAGGAGAGCGACAGACGTCTACCTGAGTGTTGGAATGTTGCGGAACAGCGGTATTGACCGGAAGTGTCGGGCAGAGGGTTCAGGAAGTGCAGCAAAATGACGCCGTATTGCAGTTCGTCGACGCGGATGTCGGGATTCACGCGTTCCGAGTATCTGAGGGGAAAGGCGTCAGAGCGGGAAGGCGTCGGAGAGGACTCACGTTTTGGTGATCTCTTCGCCGCGCGGATCAAACCATCGCAGATTGGAGAAGAGGTTCGGTTCCGCACCGAAGCCTTTGCACGTGAGGACGAACTGGGTATGAGAGGGCTGGTGGACGGACGGCGCGAAGGGACTGATGGCGAGACCAATGGACGGCTCAGACGCGAAGACGGAATCTGTGCGGCGATTGGCGGTCAGAGAGTGACGTCAGAAGAGAGTACTCACGAGAGACGAAGACGAGGAATGAAAGGACGGAATGAAAGACATTGAAAGACATCTCGTGAGTCAACGACTCGATGGGAGTGGCCGTCGGGTCACGTGAGTAAACAGAGAGGCGTTTGAAAAGCGTTTTATTGAAAGGCACTCAACACTCGAGTCAACAATGGATTGATTCGATGGACTCCTTGCGCGCCATCTGCTGGTCGTCCGAAGAGTCGTCGGACGAGAGACCGAACGCGTCGTCGATTCGCACTGAAAGAGACGACAGTTAGACCACAGAGAGGACGACGAGAGACGGCTTTACTGGTCTGCGATTCGGACGACAGCTTCCAAGTGGGCCGACGACTGCGAGTGCGCGGAATGGCACCGAAGTGGCGGTCAGTGGCCGTCGCGGGCGTCGAGTACTCGGTGTTCGTCGGAGTCGTGGAGGCGGTCGTCGTCGCGCTCTCCGAGTCGTCGCTGCGGACGGAAGACAATGAGAGAGCGGCCGAAGAGGACTTCCGGTACTCACGGCTTGCGTTCGACGACTCCCTGACGCCGTTCGTTGGCGCGCGGAGGCGTTCCCGTGAACTCGCGGATGCCTGCGAACAGAGGGGTTAGA